TAAACCTCTCAATTCTCGTGAAAACTGCCTCTTTATACGATTAATCAAAATACTGAATTGAAACGGAATGCTTTTAGCATCAAACGGATATTTATAACACAATCAGAAAGCACCTAGGCAATTATATCCAAAAAATAATTCACCTGCCTGCGAATAATTGTTAAAAAGCGACATCCTAGAAAGGTGAGTCGAAAACCTAAAGGAATAAATTCGCTTTGGAAAGGATTTTGAGATTTCTGAAGAAGAATATCAATAAGTTGCAGCTAATTAGCTTTCTCCCTACGATATTTAGTCCTCCAGGATTTCTTTTTTCATTTCAAACGCATCATTTTCACAATTTAAACGATCACATCGAAGATTCGACGGAACTACCCCAAAGGGCGAGAAAAGCTTTTTCGACTCTTACAAGGATTTTGGAAAAGGCAAGAGATCGATCCAAATCAAGCTTCACGCTATTGTCTTAGAGATACCTCGACTTACAGAAAAACTGAAAAGAAGCATTAATACTATTTATACTAATATTAATACGATATTAATACGATGGTGTAAACGTTCATTTTCGTAACGAGCTTTCCCAGTTCATCAGAGTTCTCGCGTATAAATAAAGTTTATCATATGAACTACGGTGTTATACAAGGATTCCCAGCCCTGAGAAAAGCCGGAACAACATACGTGAAAAAATATCGTTTTTATTTCACCTGTGTTTGATATCGTCAATCAGCTGCTGTCACATCACTCACCTTTCGCATCTCTCGGTCAAGTTGATGAACGAACGGCGAAGCCTTCACCATCCTCAATCCAAGGAGGTTTATCGGAATTTTTTCAGATTATGGCTTCTAAAACACTTCAAAAATCCGCACCGCTTACAGACAGTGACATTCAAACTTTCTTAGAGAGGGAAGATAACAAAAGACGGAAAGATAAACCGAAAGTTATGTATTCAGTGGCTTTGGTAATGGCCTTTCTCGCGGCTGAGAACGAAAATCGACAGCTGGACGATTTGCCACAGGTCGATTTTGGCCGTGTACCTGAAAGATTTCTTCTGTTGGTAAGGACCAAGTCAATAACTGAGAATTTTTTATATATTTAAAATTACGCCTATTTGTTTTTGCAGTGTTTCAACGCATTTTTTCATCTTGAGTCCTAGCTCCAACGTACTTTACGATTTTTATACGGGGATTGTCGACCTTTTGTTTTAATTCACTGATAAAGTTGAGTTGTCTTGTCGGTAAAGGGGTATTGTGATTGTGTGTATATAATAATAAAAAAAATATCCCACATGGATGCTTGCATGGATGCCCATGTTCAGCTCGACAAATCACTCGTTCGCTGCACTTACTCGTGAGCTATCGAGTTAAACACTCGAAGAGAAATTCCATATCTACACGCGCCCATGTATTATTTTCTAATGTTTATTACTATTATTATTATCATCATTATTATTATTATTACAAAGGAGCATGTTTTGTTTGTAGACTATCAGGCTTACAAATAAATATTACACTTCTATCGCTGCGTGCATATGGTGAGGGAGATGTTTAAAGCTATACGCATCTCGTTGAGAATAGAAATACTGGCCTTAAAAGGTTAAAAAGAGTTGAACTTGGGACTCCCCTGTCAAACTTCAAACTTTGAATCTATCGCAAAATTGCCACAGACTTCGTGGAAAGCTAGATAACTGTAGTGTCAATGACCGTAATAACAATAATAATGATCATAATAATAATGATCATAATAACAATAATAATAATAATGATAATAGTAATAATAATAATGATAAATGTGATGTATATATTTACAGTAGTACCGATGATGATAATGCTATAAAATTGATAGCAATATCATGAGTAACATAATATTATAATAGAAACGATCTTAAGAAAAATGAGAATAATAGTGAAAATTAAGCACTCCAACTGCAAATTGAGGATTTTCACAAAGCCAAAAGAAAAATGCTTCGCACAATCCAGTTCATGGTTTAAAAATCTAAAACGTTCTTGAAAGGGGAAAGCCCGCCAGACGAGCAACAGAAACTTTGAGTGATGGTAAAACCTACATCGATAATTTTCTTGATCATTATACCGAATGCAAATATAATAAATAATAACAATTACCAGTATTTATATAGCTGACATATCAAAAAGAACTCTCATGGCACTTTACAATAAGTATAAGAAATTAATGAAAATTATTTAAAAATGAACACGATAACTGTCGACAAATATAGAAAATAAATATGTTTTTAGATTCTTTTTAAATAAAGGCAGTGTTCCAACATATCTGACGTGGTTAGGCAGGCAATTCCATAATTTTGGTGCACAGACTGAGAATGTTCTATCTCCATATGAATTTGTTCTTGATGTTGGTGTTGCTAGGAGTCCTAGAGAACTTGAGCGCAATGCTCGAGATGATTTTCTCTCCTGTAATAGTTCAGAGACATACCCAGGGCACAGTCCATGACGAGCTTTGTAGACAAGGAGTAAAATTTTGAAAACAACGCGATACGAAACAGGAAACCAGTGAAGTTGCTGTAATAAAAGGGGTGATGTAATCGTACTTCGAAGAACCAGTGACCAGTCGAGCAGCTGTGTTTTTAACCCTCTGCATTTTTTAAAATTGATATTTGGGTAGACAAAAGTAAAGATGGTTACACTAATCTAGCGTTGTAGTTAGAAAAGCATGTGCTACCTTAGAAGTGGCCTCATCTGTCAAATATTTATGAATTTTAAACAGGTTTCTTAAGAAGAAAAACGAAGTTCTACAATGTTGATTTATCTGATCATTGAACAATATTTCCTGGTCAAAGATGATTCCAAGATTAGTAACTGTTGTGGCCATGGTGAGTTGTTCATTTGCCAAGCATGATCTCGTCCAGTAAGGGCTATTCCGAAATTTAGAGCGAATTAATAATATTTCAGTTTTCTCTTTGTTAAGCTTTAGCTCGTTTCGCTCCATCCATAAGCAAATGACAAATACACAGTCAGCAGTCCGATCAGTAATCGAGTCAATGTCATCATCCTTGAAGGCCAAATAGAGCACCCAAATATGACAGACTACTCATTCGGCCCGGGTTGAGTCGTAAGAAAGCGAGGCTAGTAATGTCTCAGGTTTGCCTCGCGAGGGCAGCCCTTAGAAAGTAATTAGTCGTTGTCAATCTCCTCTGTTTTATTTCGCAGCACCTACGAATTTATGTGTTCCTGAGTGCCATCAAAAGTGAACATCTTCACAGAAGAGAGGATATTTTGCTCCTCGCTCATGAGGAGAAAGATTGAGTGCATGAAATTTTTCGAGAGGAAGAAAGGAAATTCGCTATCGTTAACATAACCTACTTCTTTTAAAAACGGGGTGTGAACTTTTCACAGTTTTAGCGCTCCAAAAAAACAGCTAGTTTTACCGTGTAAGAAAATAATCATAATAATAATTACCATCATAAAATACCAACTAGGAAAATAAAAATGTTAGGAATCGTTAATAGTAATCGAAACAATTATAATGTCAAAAGAGCTAAAGTTATTCGCTAAAATTGAAGTGAGATGATACGATAAAGTCGTTAAGCGGACGAGTTTTGTTTTTCGCCGGTGATTTTCCAACTGGAATTGTTTGGTCAGTACCGTAACCAAGAAAAAAAATCCTAAAATTTGCCATTCTTTGGAAACAGCTAAGAAGAATTTAAAGATTCCTGCTAAATGGAATTCCACGGTTGTTGAGAAAGATAGATAAGTAAAACGATGTGAATAAAGACCTCCTAACTGCCTTTCATGTTTTCGTGTTAGAGAGAGCCGAATAATGTGGGTGACTTCGTGAGTCAAATGGCTCACCACATATGAAGACACACCAGCTGCCAAGTGGATAATGAATCTTGGAAAAAAAATTTTTTCTTCTCCTTTTTTCTAAGAAAAAAGACGAATTTAGCCGTCGTCTTGGGCGTTAGAACGAGTGATATCTTCGACAAAAGATAGAATTTTACTTCAAGGAGAAAAAAGGCAAAGACTGCTAGAATAGTTTGTGATTTGTAACCTGGCAAGCGTATAAAGAATAATCCAACATCAGTTAATATTCTGATCAAAGTCTGAAAAAGACCGAAACGATATTCATAGACTAATCAAGGTGTTTCCTAGAAACAAAATTTTACTTCTAGATAGAAAGTGAACCTATGAATAAAATTGAAGATTTTTTTCCTTTTTTTCCTCAAAAAAAGGCGAGTTCAGTAATTGTCTTGAGTGTTAGAACGAGTGATATCTTCAACGAGAGATAGGATTTTACTTCGAATAGAAAAAAGTGTAAAGACTGCTACGGAGCTTAGGGAAGTCCTTGAATAGTTTGTGATGAACTTTTAAACGGACAATTGTTTAACGAATAACGAAAAATCAATTAATATTCTGATCGAAGTCGGAAAAAGACCGAAACGACATTCATAGACTAATCAAGGAGTTTCCTAGAAACAAATTTTTACTTCAAAGAAAAAGGGAAAGCTAAATGCAAATTAATGTGCAATTTTAAAGTCTTCTAGGCTGCTAATATTGACTCAAACACGTTTATCGTCTTTAATAACGGAATATTTGCTGCCTTAAATCGTCTGGTGTCTCCCTCTTTCTTTGATAAAAAATGCTAGAACTGTGTAACAATTGATATGAACAATATAAAAGATCTAAAAACATTGGCGACAAGATTTTCAAAGAAATTCTAGACTTAGAAGTTATTAGTATTAGCTGTAATAAAAAAGAGGATTTTTTTTCGTATAATCCAATTATTCCAATGTGAGCTCAAATAATACCTTTCCTCAGATTTTTAAAATTTAGAAACTACAAAAAACAGTGCCTCTGAAGTCAACCTAATTGATATTCTTTGGAGAAATAAGAATAACGAAGAATATCACAACATAGTGTGATTCAATGAAATGCAAAATAAGTAGCCACTTGTTTTCTTTACTTTACAAAAAAAAAAAAAAAAAAAAACCTTCATAGGAAGATCGAGTAAACCCATTTGTTACAAGCTTTCTTTCAAATTGTTACTGTTATGGTGCCTTTGCCTTTCTTTCTGGGATAGCTTAAATTTATTAAATCATACAGTGTTAATGGCAAACATGTTCCCAAACAAAATTTCAGGATCAGTAAATAAACAGTTCCATCAATAGACGTGTCTCTTTTCAAATCGCGACCCCATAGAGCTGATTCGAAACGAGCAAGGGCCACGTCGCTGAAAATCAGCACCGAACATGCTGCAAGAAAAACGATAACGAATAAGGACTTCTTGTTGTCTGTCCAAGCTCTCCAAGACCGTGACAAGAAACGTGAATCCATCGCGGCGTCTGATTTTGATGACATGAACTCCTCATTGTATTCAGCATTGTCTTTAGCCAAGGCTACGGAAACCAAATAGACGTCAATAGACATGGTCAAAAGCAACGCAGCTTTATGGACGACTTGAAAAATGGCCGTTTTCGAGAAGCACCAAGGCCAAAAGATCATTGCGGAAGCGATGAATCCCAAAAAAAGCACCGCGTACAATTTATGTTCTGCATGTACTGAGGGATGTTGATAACACACTTTCATGATTGCCGTAAGGTTAGTAATTTGAAAAAACATCATGGACAAGGAAAGAACTCTCAAGACATTACAGGATTCCGTAGCTTGAATACGGAAACCATTCCACCATTCCACGGCATCCGCGACCAGAATTACAACTTGGCAAGCGACCTGAAGACCTAAAAGTATCCAGCACTTTTTGAAAAATCTGTATTTTTTTTCATGTCTGAAGCAGCTCAGTAGCAGTAGTCCGTTGAAAAAGATTGCGGCTAAATCCAGTACGAACATCAAAAGAAGAGTTGTCATGGCTAAGGACATGATGCGAGAGAGAAATCTTCCTCTCCTCGGTTCGTGTGGTTGAGTTGAGCTGTATTGACGTGTGTCTTGAGAGCACACATTTATCTTATCAACATCGGGAAGGGCCGAGGGAGGTCTGAGCAAGAATAAAAAACATGAGCGGTTACCCGACCATGATTCTTATCTTACGCTTCTGATTTGTCAGAAACAAACGCATAAAAAGGTTACGGGGTGCAAAATCAACGGCATTTTATGAAACGTGTGAGATTCCACTGTCTGAAAGGTAGACCTTTTTGTTTAACGTGTAAGTGGAGTTGAGGGTATTTCAATACACAGGCTGGCTTTGTTGCTATTTTCGGAGAGGTTTCTGTGTAACCCCTATGCTATTCTTAAACAAAGTATTAGTCCTAAAGGCAACTCTATTGTTTTCGCCATAGTTTCTTTTACCAAAACGAAGTTTGGAGCTGAACGTACATCTTGCCCATTTTTTCTTAAAAGAGAACTGTTTCTAGAAACTAAATAATTTACATATCCGCCTTCAAAACCATTTATGAAATTTAAATCTAAAATTGAAATAAATGCCCAAACGTGACCGTTCCAAAGCTGCTTTCAATTGTAATATAAATCCGATTTAGCGACACTTTCATTCTTCAAAGGCTGTTGTTTTGGTTAATCCAATGTCGAATTCCTAATCAGGAAAATAATTCTTTAATTTTTTATTTCGCACGTTCAACACTTCTTTCTTCTAAGGTGACCATAAGTGTCCAAAACTTCTATTTTTCATCCTCCGCACTGAATTTATAATCAGTTAACTTGCGTGAAGGGCGGTAGAACAACAGGAATCTAAGAGCGATTCAATATTAATGTTAGAGAAAGCTATTTTTGTCTTCTAACACGATGATATTCATTATTTTGTTACTAGCTGGCCGAAAAGAAGTTACCCTAATGTTAAGATCTTCCTTAACCATATAGCCACTGATGGGCAAACGAGTGACAAAGTTGGAGTCAAGATTCAGATAACTAGAAAGCGAATTTAAAAGATTGAAGCCGTTCAACAGGGTTAAATTAAAATGTTTGAAGACGATCGCCGTTGTAACTCAGGGAATCATGAGAATATTCATAAATTGCTTAATTAAAAAAACTATCCCCTTGCGATTTAAAGGGAGGTGAGATAAGAAGATGTCTCATCAGCCATCATAGAAACAACACATTGAATTACAGATTAAGTTAAAAAATTCAGAGTACCTAATTACGGGTATTAGGCTCCCCTGTTGAGCAAATCTTTCGAGGTAACCTGAAGCCATTACGAATTTGAGTTTTTTTGGATCCGCCAGGAGTTATTGGACCTGCAATGTTAGTTGAATGATTAAAAAAGCCTCGCGTTTTCTAATGTACAATCGGCCCGTAAACCAATTGAAGAAGCTATAATCTTTGAAGCATCTTTCCGGGGATTTATAACCTTTCTTCGGCAATCCTTCGAGTAATCCTGCACACGACTAGTCTCGGGCCAGGAGTGGCCCTTCTGGTGGGAGTGTGATCACCAATATCGATATCTTGAATTGAAATTTCAACTCCTGCAGCTTGAAAGAGGCTTCGACATAGTATAGTTGTGTCGGAGGAAAACTCACTAGCTTTTCTTTCAGGGAGACTAAGCCGGGATCTTTACGCTATATTGAAAATTGTGGCGCTGAATCAGCTCGATGGATTTTTCTCTTCAATTCTTCTGGTCAGGACATTCAGGAGAGACCAGAGCTGTTGCAAACTTTTGTCCGCTTCCTGGCGAGGGTCATCGTACGAATTGCCATAGAATTGCAGGATATTCAAAGTCCCTTGCTGAAATATTGCCAGCCGACGCACTTCGCCGTCATTGCTAGAGACATAAACATCGATCATGCTACGTTTAAGAGACCTCTGAAAATCTTCGAAAGTTTTCTTCAGAGCAGCAATTTCGAATTGGGGGCTTTCAATCTCTTTTTTAGGCGAATTAACTGACGGATTAAGCATAGTTAGACAGAAACATCTGAATCAGCGCTGAGCGATCAAAAATGCGTTCGCGCAACTCGCGTGCACGAACTTTATTTTGTATGAATAAGAAATAATTTTTGACACTGTTGGTGTCAGCCTATTTTTTCAGTCTTTCTTGGAAAAAAAGTTGCATGGATCCATTCATCTGTAGGTAATTCTCTCGTATGATGTATTACAGGATAGACGCCTAGATGACCTCGTCATTAACATACTGTTTTTCTTTGTTATCATATAGAACAAGATGAATTTATGTTGCCATGGGTCTAGTCAGTCATATGTTAGAGAGGATGTCAGCATGCGGTAAGAGCATCAGTGACACTCTCACCTTCACCTCATGGGTCACTTTATTGTTCTTACAACATTTTGAAATCAGGATGATAAATAATACTTAACAGAAACACCGCGGCAAAACGTATACGCATGCGTCAACTTCCGGCATTTGCGGTTGTGCACGCTATTTATGTGTTGTTCGGTTGTTCAGATTAATTGGCTAAATCTTCGGACAGAAAATACTTTCGGCCGGCACATTTGCGGCCGCTTTTGTTGGCTTTGCACATTTTTCAGTGAAGGAACCGCACAACCAAACTAACGCAACAAAAATAACTACGTGAAAAGAAATTGCTCTTGTCGAGCGCGAACGCGCCCGAAATTTTTTCATATTTTTTTGTTGGTGCACACACCAAATCCCTTGGTGCTAGCATTTGAAACTTAAATGAAGAACAAACCTTTTTAACGAGACAAATGAGGAAAAGCTCGAGATTCTATCCCTGCAAACAATGTCTATGGATTTATATATATTTGATATCTTTTTTTTCTAGGCTTTCATAACACTGGATCACTTTAAGACCTATTCCCGGCGAATGAACTTGCCCTTTGCATGACATTAAAGAAAATAGCGCGCTTGAAATGAAGGAATAAATTTTGTCGCAATAAATTTATAGTAATTCTATCTTTCATCTGCATCAATTTTTCAGCTCTGCTGAATCATAAGGGGAGCGACTTAATTCTACATGTCAGGTCAGGTTTTGCATATCGACGTCTTCTAGTAAAAAAAATTATAAGATTAAGTTCTAAGCTTTTAAATTGGAACAGTAGAGAATTATCCGGTCATTAAGGATATCAAATCTAATTAGAATTTATGTAGTGACGTCAATCACTTTAACTAAAAGTAGGCGATTTTGGCTTCGCACTGACTATCGATTAAGTGTTTTGAAGTTACCTTCAATGGAAATAATTTTTGAAATAGGTGTCTAATTCTGATCAATTCAGTTCTTGCTTGCGATACTGATATTCTCAAAATAGAACCTTTTTGTAATATTTCATGTAAGGCAAAGTTAAACTTATTAAGTGATAGGGAGAAAATAAAATTAATTCAGGAAGAATTATCCAATTTTGTTGGTCCGTGCTTTTGCAAAACCAATAAACAGGCATTAAAGCATCTGATAAAAATGTATTAGGATACGTAACAAAAGCTATTTACATAATTAGCTTTCACACAAACGGTAGAAGGGGCCAGAGGGTTTTGTAAGACCCCTTTGTAAATATAACGTTCCTTCTGAAAGTTTTTATAAGTCCTCTCCCCTCTAAACAAGAAGACAATTGAAGAGTCCCGAACAGCCACCGAGAAGAACTTCAATGGAAACTTGGTTTTGGGTTTTCAGCTGGTTCCTCTGTATCCTAACGATGACTAGAAATGGATTTGTCATCTTCCTCGTCTGCAACAAACGTCAGCTTCGCACGAAAAGCAATACATTCATCGTGTCTTTAGTGGTGGCTGATTTTTTTTATGGGATGATCGCAGTTCCCTCAGAATTTCTTTGCGAAGTGATGAATGAGAACAGCTCCGTTAAAAAATCAAATTTGATTATAACATATATATGGGTTTTCATACTTCACGCCTCTGGAACAAACTTGATTACTTTAGTATCGGAACGATATATCGTCGTCGTGAAACCTTTGAAATACTTAACTTTTATGAAGCGCCACCTAGTCAATCAAATGGTTCTTATATCTTGGGGAATCCATTTTCTTTTCAATCTTATAGTATTGTTTTGAGGTAAGCTTGTGCGTAATTTTATTATTTTACCTTACGTCTATGCTTCTTGTCGTTCACAAGCAAAAATCTAAAGATAACATTTAAGCTAAGCAATCGCGCTTTAATCAAATGGTCGCTGAGTATAAAGTTAAAACTCAGAACTCGTCCGCGGTAAAATGGGTCGCTTTGGTAATGAATGTATTTCTATCGTGTTACGGAATAATCATGCGCTGCAGTTTGTCAGTTTTGACAGGTCATCCATGTAATTATTTTCATTATAAAGGAACTTTACAAGCGATTAACTCTGGAATAAACCCTTTAGCTTACGCTTGCTTCAAAAGGGACATAAAACAAGAATGTAAAAGGTTTCTCTGTAGAAGACGTCGTTGATTTACCACAGAGCTGTTCATGCGCAAGAAAATGTTGATGTGTAAACGTAACTCTTCCCTTAGCTTCCGAGCCTGAGGTCATCCGGTTCAGGATCTGTGTTGTATTAATTCTTATCTCAATTGATGTTAAAACGAAAGACTTCCAATGAAACAAGGATAACTCATTTTTATTGTGTAAGAGTCAGCTGTTCTGCGGCCTTTTTGTAATAGCGATGGATTCTTCAAAAAAACCTACGCATTTTGTAATAGCGGTTTCGGAATTTTGTAATAACTAAGGCATTATTTTTGTCTTCTAACGAGCGTGGCACAATGAAAAAATTCTGAGTCCTCACGAGGAATTGAAACTGAGAACTTCGGCCTCCGCGCTCCAATGCTCCAGCACTGAGCCACAGAGACTCCACGGTGAGAGAGGTCTCTTACGAAGTTCACATGACACGCGTCCTCCTTACCTCTAGGATCAGCAATGTCGATAGCGTAACTTTGTAGATCTCTCTTATTCTATCCACAAAGTTAGGCATTTTATATTGTACATATAGGTACTATGGTATTACGGTTATGCATGCAACTTTTCA